TGATGCAGCAGGCTGAGCTAGCGAGGGAAAAGTTCAAGTGATGACAGTCTTGTGTGTGCTCCACCTCAGCTGGCCTGCTGGTTGCCTTTAAGTTCTAACCATTCTGTTTCCCTTCCATTCTCCAAAGTCCAGGTATCATCTTCTGATCCCTCTCCCCACCCAGCCTAACCACCAGCTCCCCACTAAGCTGGCTCAGAGGGAAACACAAAACTCTCTACATGTGCCCACTATGTACAACACTCCACACTGGAGAGGATTCTGTCTTTAACTCATCCCCCCAGGTGGTCTCAAATGCCTCTAAGGAGGAAGAGGACTGTGACCTTACTCACTTTGCATTCTGCACATAGTAGGTGTTCAGTGACTTGGTGATGAATAGATGAATGCCCCGAGTATGCTGCTTACATCTCTGCATCCCTGTGGTCATTTCTACCATCACGCTCACGTAACATTCCTCTCCCTTTTTCTTCCATCCAAGGAGGAGAACATTTGTTTTCTTACTAGGTAGGGAGTCTTAGTCATTAAAGAAACAATAATATAAAATGTTCTTCTAATTAGTAACTTCAATACTTTGTCCAGAATCTCCCAAGTGATATACTCATTAAAATAACAAATATCTCACTAAAGTTTCCAGGCATGCTCCCCTCACTGTTCAGAGCACCCTTTCACATGTTAAATATTAGTATGAATCAATGGGAACTGAAGAGGCTGACCTCAGCTTGTGAAGGGGTTGGAGTCCAAACTGTGTTTGTAAATTGGTCCTCCCAAATACAAACTTTTTCCCATAAAAAATCTATTATGAATGCTGGTTATAGTTGCAGACTAGTCAATAAAATTTCACTCACTCCAAACATAGGATTAACAGAACCAGCTTCAGCTGTGTGCCCTCCAAGTAGGAGAAAGGGGAAAGATAGGAATATTTCCTCCCTCTTCTCCTGACTCAGGACATCCCAGGGGTTTCAATGCAGAGTGCATATTCCTTCCCATGTTTCAGTCCCCTTATGTCAAGCTGAGTTAAATATTTACCTCTGCCATAATTTTTACCTGTAGAGTTCATCTAGACCTTTTTCAACCTTTGAGATTCTTTAACTTGATATTTCTAGTATTTTTTTCCCAAGGCAAAGTCCAACTAATGTCAAATAGACATTAGAAGGACAAGAGATGAGTAAATTAATGCACATTAAAGTATGAATGACTGCTAACTAACTTGTAAACTCTTTATGAATAGTTCATTTTAAATAAAGAATATTCATTTATCTAAGTGAGTTTATACTTCTGAATTGGTATAAGCACAATAACTATAATAAAATCAATTTAAAAATGAATAAGGTATAGGAAAATCCTCCTGGAAGAGGAAGAACTAGTCAAATTTCTCTAAAAGTCTTATGTTCTGCTTCCTGTTAAATCATCCCTTCTTTACATCTTTTTCTATCTTCTAAACAATGAATTTCTAAAAGCACCAAGAGGTCTTTTGCCATTTTGTTTGTTTTGGTTTTGTTTTCTTTCTACGTGGTGAAGCCCAGGTTGACGCTGGATTGTTTTGTAAGGCTGGGCCAGAAACAGAATGTAAACTGATTTCATAAATTCTGTATAATTTAGTCTCTATATTCATAGCATCCGTTACACGCTATTTCCTTGTTCATGTGTCCACTCACTCTCTCATTCATGAGGCATTTATCAACTGCCTCCTGGAATGTACCAAGGCCCATACTAATCAACAGGATGATTCAAAACAGGCCTCCCCTCAAGCAGATGCCAGACCAGTGGGGAAGACAGATCTGTCAACAGACGATTACAATAAAATTTTGAAACCTGTGACTACAGTGCTAGAACAGCTCAGAAAAGTAGGGAAGACATCACAGCGGATGTGACATTTGGGATAGATGTTATCTGCTTGTGGAAGCTAATGTCCCCATGAATAAAAAGAGAAGAAAGGGATTTAGATGATATAAGGGTGAGCACAAATGGAAAAGATAATGTAACCAAAAATTTGAGTAGGGAAAAGAGTATACTCAAGAATGGCAAAGAGGACATCTAAGAACTGCTTTGGGAACCAGCAGGTAGCATAATGGTTCTGTTGCTAGACTGCCACAGAGTCAACCATGGTTTGAGTCCTGGACCAGGTAACTTAAAACTCACTCTGGGCATGTGTGCATGCATGCCCAAACTCCCAAGAGGAGAATAGAGGAGAAGGGATTACAGCATGGCCATCCTCCCCTGGGGGTGGGGGGTGATTTCTCACTTTCTGTAGGTCTGTCACTGTTTCTGCAGTGTGGTGAGCACTCATTTCTTATAGCAAGAAATCTCTCAAAACAACAACAACAACAGCCAAAACTGCTTTGTTCCCATGTTTTGTCTCTTAAAAGCCAGTTCCTGGGGTCTCATCCTCACCCACTGTTTTGCACCGAGATGAACCCTGCCCTAAAAGCTCACGTCTGGCTCTCCTGGATGCCAACCACAGCCAGGCAGGGCAGAATAGCAGTGTCTTAATCCCATTCCTCCCCTTCTCCAGACGTGTTTATTACAAGGCACAGCCACACACACCTAAGGCCCTGCCCTTTTGTAGCAGCAAGATCAGTCGCCCAGCACCACTGTCCTGGCCCGCTCCACTCCGTGCCTGTACCACATTCCATAACAGCACTTTCACAGAATCGCCAGCCTTCAGCACCTCCGGTGGACTCTTACCTAGGACAGAATGTTGATTTTCTAAATCACATAAATGAATGTTTGACTGATGATCATGTAAAATGTTGGAGTAAATATTTGCAGAAGTTGTTGTGGACCTCATTCCTGAGCACATCTCATTCTTCCTAAAATTCTCAGTAACTGCGGCTCCCCTGAATCCTCACTGAAGACATGTTTTGTTGATACTCTTGGCCTAATCCACTCAATTGACAACCTTATTTCACAAATGGTTAATCTCAGAGTTCACTGCAGAAACGACTGTCAGGCACCAAGGAGATTCAAGCCCTTCTGCTAGGCTGAGCTGGAAGTGAAAGATAAGTGGTTACTCTCTACAGAGACCTGGAAAGCCAGGCAGGGCAGAATAGCAGTGTCTTAATCCCATTCCTCCCCTTCTCCAGACGTGTTTATTACAAGGCACAGCCACACACCACCTAAGGCCCTGCCCCTTTTGTAGCAGCAAGATCAGTTGCCCAGCACCACTGTCCTGGCTCGCTCCACTCCGTGCCTGTTCCACATTCCATAATAGGACTTTCACAGAATCGCCAGCCTTCAGCACCTCCGGTGGACTCTTACCTAGGACAGAATGTTGATTTTCTAAATCACATAAATGAATGTTTGACTGATGATCATGTAAAATGTTGGAGTAAATATTTGCAGAAGTTGTTGTGGACCTCATTCCTGAGCACATCTCATTCTTCCTAAAATTCTCAGTAACTGCAGCTCCCCTGAATCCTCACTGAAGACATTTTGTTGATACTCTTGGCCTAATCCACTCAATTGACAACCTTATTTCACAAATGGTTAATCTCAGAGTTCACTGCAGAAACGACTGTCAGGCACCAAGGAGATTCAAGCCCTTCTGCTAGGCTGAGCTGGAAGTGAAAGATAAGTGGTTACTCTCTACAGAGACCTGGAAAACCATGGAAAGAATGTTATTCCCCAAAGTCTGGAGCCATCCCACTCACCCTCTATTTTGTTAGTTCCCACAATTCCTCCGTAACTTAAAGGCAGCTATTTTGACCTACAGGAGGATGCTAATAAATGTTATGCCTGAGTAAAGAATGCAAGATGAAAGAAATAGTGTAAAGAATAAGATATAGGGGTGCCATACTTCTGAAGTTAAAGATTGATTAATTAGCAGGACCAGCAGATGGCATAATGGTTATGTCACTGGATTCCCAAACAGCCACCTGTGGTTCGAGTCCTGGACCTAGGAGCATAAAACTCACACCAAACACATGTGTGTGCATGCCCAGGATCCCAGGAGGAGAATGGAGGAGAAGGGATCACAGTATGGCCATACCGCTGGAGTGATTTCTCGCTTTCTATCTCTCTGTCTCTCCCGCAAATGCACGCACTGAATAGCAAAAATCTCTCTCTTAAAAAAAAAAGAATAGATTAATTAGTTGCATTGCTTATCTCAGGAGAAACTTTTAGGTTTTTCTGAATAACTAATTTAATTCAATAATATTTTCTAAGATTGAGATTATATTTTGGTCAACTTAGAAGCTAGGTTTTACTTATAGAAAACTTGGAAAGGACCTAGATAGGTTTATTCATGTAGGTCCTTACTTCCATTTTCTCTGGAGGATCCTTACCACTTTCTACAAAAGCAGTGTGTTATAAAATTAAATGTGTAGTCTTAGACTTTCACTTCACAGCCTTTCTTCAGAAAACATGATCTCATACATGTTCCTAAGACTAATGTTAAGTTACTGGATTTATAATTGAGAAATAAAACTATGTTTGTTTACAAATGGAAGTTAAAACTATTGTCCCTTTTTATTTGTATTTTCTCCAGGTGCATTCAGTATAGTATCTGAGACTATTTCCACCCAGGAGATCAAAATGATTCTCAACTCTTCTACCGAAGATGGTATTAAAAGAATCCAAGATGACTGTCCCAAGGCTGGAAGGCATAATTACATATTTGTCATGATTCCTACATTATACAGTATTATCTTTGTGGTGGGGATCTTTGGCAACAGTTTGGTGGTGATTGTCATTTACTTTTACATGAAACTCAAGACTGTGGCCAGTGTTTTTCTTTTGAATTTGGCATTGGCTGACTTATGCTTTTTATTGACTTTGCCACTATGGGCTGTCTACACTGCTATGGAATACCGCTGGCCCTTTGGCAATTATCTCTGTAAGATTGCTTCGGCCAGCGTCAGTTTCAACCTGTATGCCAGCGTGTTTTTGCTCACGTGTCTCAGCATCGATCGCTACCTGGCCATCGTTCACCCGATGAAGTCCCGTCTTCGACGCACAATGCTTGTAGCCAAAGTCACCTGCATCGTGATTTGGCTGCTGGCTGGCTTGGCCAGTTTGCCAGCTATAATCCACCGGAACGTATTTTTCATCGAGAACACCAATATCACGGTTTGTGCTTTCCATTACGAGTCCCAAAATTCGACCCTCCCCATAGGGCTGGGACTGACCAAAAATATACTGGGTTTCTTGTTTCCTTTTCTGATCATTCTTACAAGTTACACTCTTATTTGGAAGACCCTAAAGAAAGCTTATGAAATCCAGAAGAACAAGCCAAGAAATGACGATATTTTTAAGATAATTATGGCAATTGTGCTATTCTTTTTCTTCTCTTGGGTTCCCCACCAAATATTCACTTTTCTAGACGTGTTGATTCAGCTGGGCATCATACATGACTGTAAAATTGCAGATATTGTGGACACTGCCATGCCCATAACCATTTGCCTAGCTTATTTTAACAATTGCCTAAATCCTCTGTTTTATGGCTTTCTGGGGAAGAAATTTAAAAAATATTTTCTGCAGCTTCTGAAGTACATTCCCCCAAAGGCCAAATCCCACTCAAGCCTATCAACAAAAATGAGCACGCTGTCCTACCGCCCCTCAGATAATGTAAGCTCCTCTACCAAGAAGCCTGCTCCATGTTTTGAGGTCGAATGACATGTTTAAAACCTACCCAAGAACTAAACTTTGAAAGAAGGAGCAAGACACACATTCCTCTGTGGCACTTCACTACCCAATGAGCATTAGCTGCTTCTCAGAATTTAAGAAGAACATGGATTACGTGGACTGAACTGACTTTTCTAAAGCTCTGAACAAAAGCTTTTCTTTCCACTTCACGACAACACAACACAAAGCCACATTTCGCATCAGGTAGAGGATGGCTGCTCAAAGAACGATGTTAGAAACTGGATGAATGTATTCATTTGGAAACTTTTACTGGCGGCAATCCAGATTCCTCCATCTCCTCTTGTTCTGTTATTTTTGATTTCCACATGAAGGTACTTAGAATATATTAAACTTTTAGACCGAGCAAGAGTTCAAGGAAGTCCAGTCTAATTGCCAAAGGGCATTAAAGCTTTCGTGCCTATGTAGTTATTCACAACTGTGGCCCACTTGTACCTGAAACACATTTTTACAAAGATTTGCTAAGCAGTTGTCATGTTTCAGAACCTTTTGTGAAATACACCCAGTGTCTTATAGATTCCCATTGCCAAACAACACCAGTAAAATGGTTTATTTGTGCCGTTGTGTCACTGCATTCACAAACAAAAGTTAAACTACTTGTATAGGTGTTATTCTGGTCCTATGTAGTTGTGTCTTCCTAGTCATATTAGTTTTATTTCATAGCTGAGAAGTGTATATAGTTTGCAATAAAAAAATTCCATATCATAAAGTATGCCATACTGTTTTTAGAAAGTATATATTCTACACATATGTATATGTATATCTATATTTCCAAGCTGTTGTTACTTGATTAAAATCTGACAAAGTAATATCTACCTAAAATAAAATAATTTTATTGTTATGTATTAAATCTTAAATCTTTACTACTTCAGATACTGACTTATTTTTAAAATAAAACAACTGTAAGTATGATATATTTTCATTTAAGTTTTGATACAATTGATAGCTTAATGCTATTTTTCATATCATTTGTACCCTGCCATTGAAAAGATGAAAAAGAGAGATCAGCAGGTGGCATGGTGGTTAAGGCACTAGGAGTGCCTACATGGCCAACCATGGTTTGAGTCCTGGATCTGTTGGCTCGCTCTCTCTCTCTCTCTCTCTCTCTGTGTGTGTGTGTGTGTGTGTGTGTGTGTGTGTGTGTCTGATCAAAATAAGATAAATGAATGAAAAAATAAAATAATGTTTTTAAAAAAGAAAAGATGGAAAATAAAACATTTGTTCTATAGCACAACATGGAATAAACACACCATTTTGAATTTTCCAAAGCTTTTCACATAACAAAGGAAAAATGACAGTCGCAGGTCACATATTAATGTTTTAGTTAACAACAGACCACATGTATGACAGTGTCCCATAAGATTATTCTATTTTGCCTCGGTGTATAGTGGCCTACCTCCTTTTGGTTTGTGTAAGAATACTCGATGGCATTTGTGCAGTGACAGAAATCATCTAGCAATGCATTTCTCAGAATACATCCTCATTATTAAATAATGCATGACCATAATTCATCCTTGTAACACTAAAATAATTATTTTACAGAAATTTTTTTCATAATATATTTTTTCTAATTATATACATGATGTTGGTAGGAAATTTAGAAGGTATTCCCCCACTTAAAAATGATCATTTTGGAGGACCAGTAGATGGCCTAATGGTTATGTCACTGGACTCCCACATACTCAACCACAGTTCAAGTCCTGGACCTGGTGGTTTAAAACTCAAGCCAGGCGTGTGTATGTGTGAGTACTCAAAATTCTGAGAGGAGAATGGAGGTGTGACCACCCCCCCTGGAGGGGGGGTGACTTCTCACTTTCTGTCTCTCTGTCTCTCCAGTGAGTGCACATGCCCTATAGCAAAAATCTCTCTTAAAAAATAATTATCATTTTTGGGACCAGCAAGAGACATGGTGGGTACAGTGCTGGACTCCCACATGGTCAGCTATGGTTTGAGTCTCAGATCTGGTGCTTGCTTTCTCAAAGTCCCTTTCTATCTCTTTCTGGTCAAATTAAAGGATAACATTAAAAAATAAATAATTTTTAAAAAATTATTATTTTAATATTTGGATGTACTTCCTTCTACTTTTTTTGTATCCACACACAAACCAACATCATGATATTGGGTCATAGCATGCATAGTACTCTGTGTACAGGTTCTTCACTTAATGTCATAGCATAGTGGTTCCCACCCCAATCAAAATGTTCTACACCATCTTAATAGTTGCATAGTATTATAAAACACAGGTGCATTCTGATAGTTAGCTTGTCACCAAAATTAAGCATTTTGGTTTTTCCCTGATTTTCAGTATTAACTATTACATTGAGATACACATACAAGCACATGAATATGATCAATTCCTCACAGTCCTAGAAGCAGTACATCTAAGTAGGCAGTTAGGAAGATTTTTTATATTCTTAATACATGTTGCCAAATACCTTCCATAAAACTTATAAATATTTATAATACCACCAACTCTGTATGAACCTATCTCCCCACAGCCTCAATAGCCTGGAGCATTTACTAAAATGAAGCAAAAAGGAAAAATTTACTATATGGGTCCAGGTGCCAGACATGGGGCAGGGATGCAACTGTGCCTGAAGAATGTCCCGTAACCTTTCAGTTCCCATTGGACAAGTGCCTCATTCTTCAACCTAGGGGCCTTTGCTGCTCCTGAAATCTACGCAAGGTGCACTGAAGTGCTCATTCTGGATGACTAAATTTGCTCCAGGATGAGAGGGGATGTATATAATAGTGACGGGGCTGTGGGTGAGAAAGGGCAGTCGCAGAGATCTTGGTGCACTGGGCATAGCGTCTCTGCCAAGTAAGCTATTGCATTCCTATCCCCAAGGGTACACTTATTTTGTGAATAAGTGTGGTCGCATATGCCTATATTGTTTTCTTTTTATATTCGTTTCAACTTCATATAATGCCAGCCACTCACTCCAAAGGTCCTTTACTATTTTCACAAAAAATAACTTCTAAAAAATAAATTCTAGCTCATCCCAAACTATAGTGTAGCCTTAGACTATTTGAAATCCGTCCAGGCCAGTTTTATAATGGTTCATTTTTCTTTTCAATCGTCATTTTAATCTGATTGCAAGGAGTTTAAACTTGCACCACTTGATCGTTTATCGCTAAGATTTCCAGTAGATAATTGTATTTAGATCTCCCCTATCTCAGTGCTTCTTAACTGGTGTGAATGATGTGTTCCATGCTTCATGTTCATTTTCATTTCATCAAATTATATTGTGACTTTCCCCCATTCATTTGTGAAATATTGATAATACTTATGATGATTCTTGTTTTCTCAGTGAGACCAGCTTATTATTGAAGATTACACTTACCCAAATGTTAGGATGAGTTGCCACGATTTATTCTTCATGAACGTATTTAGAAGTCAGGTAGACTTATTTTGGAATATCTTTAGAATTCCTGCAGATAAGAATATAGATTCAGGTGCCCAAGAGAACGAAATAGCAATATGTGTGTGTGTGTTACCTATATGTGTGTATATGTGTATATATGTGCATATATGTATGTGTGTATATGGGTGTATGTGTGTACATATGTGTGCACATATATGTGTATGTATTTCAATTTACATTCCACTTCTTATGCCTCCATGAACAAATTAATCTTTTAAGAAAATCACTCGTTCATTCATAGATTGAATAAATTTATATCAATTACTCTGTGCTGGAGGGCTAGAGTTATGTAACATATACAAGTTGAATAACCTTTGTCTGAAAAACCTGTTACCAGAAGCATTTCAGATATTGGAATATTTTCATATACATAACAAAATATCTTGGTGATAGTGCAAAAGTCTAAACACAAAAATCAATTTATGTTCTGTATGCATCATCTATACATAGCCTTGATTCTTTCCTTAATTTTCTGCAATATGTTGATATTGCACTGTTTTGATTACAATCTATCACTTGAGGTTAGATGTGGAGCTTTCTATAATATGTGTGACATCATGTCTGCACTCGAAACATTTTTTTCTTTAAAGAATTATTTTATTAAACTTTATTTATTCTGATTTGACCAGAGAGGGGCAGAGTGAGAGAGAAAAAGAAAGAGAAAAAGTGAAAAAACAAGCCACCAGGTCTGGGACTCGAACTGCAGTCGGCCATGTGGGAGTCCAGCACCCTTAACGACCATGCCACCTGCCAGCCCATTTTTTTAAAAGAATTATTTTATTTAACTTTATTTATTTATGTACTTATTTATCTTTATTTGACCAGAGAGGGACAGAGTGAGAAAGAGAGAGAGAAAGTGAGAAAGCAAGCTGCCAGGTCCGGGACTTGAACCACAGAGCGCTCAAAAACTTATGAATTTTGGAGCATTTCAGATTTTAGTTTTCAGAAGGTATTTCTATCAGCTGCTAGGGAAGAGTCAAGTGAGGAGTAGTTTAATTGCCAAGCCATGAAAAGGCTCATAGTTTTGATACCACCAATTTTCAGTTCTGTAACTCTGTATACTGGTGGAACATTTTTCCAACAGTAATGTGCTAATGTGGGGAACCAGAAAACACAAAACAGATTCAGATAGGTTAGTAAGTAGTAAGTGAAGAAAATGAGCCCCAGGGAATTTCAGATGCTTGGTATGAAGGGTGAGATCCCTTAGAGTAAAGAAAGTAAATCAGAGTAGATGGATTGAGTAGTAGGAGGGATGAAGACAGAGTCATGCACTGTCTCAAAGGTCACAGGACAGACCTTACAGGAGAGGGGCACATAAATATTTAGTGCTCCAGGGCCAACCTGGATGTACTGGACCCCAGCCAACAAGAGGAAGAAGAAACTCCAGTATATAGAGAGAAGCAAGTTACAATTGACAGAATGGTATGGCACAAGACTCTGCTATATGATTTTTATAAGTTTCAGGCTACATGGTAGGAGAGAAAGGCCCCTGTGAAACATACTGGAGACTTTGTGGAGACTAAAGAAGAAATATACAGGGAATAAGGAGTTGGAAGAGGAAGAATATTGGCGCTAATGATCAGAGTCATATTTTCCAAATTTAAAATTTTGATTGAGTTAGTCAAAACATAACATCTGTAGCTATATTCCCTCTTGTCTATTTGTGTAATGGACACTTCTGGAACCATCTGCACAGTCCCTTCTTCCCTTGTCATGGGAATATCCCACCTTACCCATGGATAGGACCAACTCAGAATGAGCCATTATCCTACATAACCCTATACCCAGGCCACAGTTCATTAATGGGTTTAGGCTTGATGTGGACCAGTCTTCCTAAGAATTTTTCAAGGAAA